CGAGTTGTATGTCAAGAGGGAGAAGTGAACTTTTGCCACCATGGAGGTTCCATTCTTGGGGCACATCATTGGTGGAGGCATGTTAAAAATGGATGGGGCGAAGGTGGAAGCGATCCAAGAATGGGAGCCGCCTACGAAGGTGCCAGAGTTGTGGTAATGCCTCGGCCTTGCAAATTATTAACAAAGGTTCATCAAGGGCTACTCCAACATTGCAACACCCTTGACGTATTTTTTGAAGAAGAACAAGGTCTGGGACTAGTTGGAAAGGTGCCAAGAAGCATTCGAGGCCTTGAATGCAACGGTGATGAAGGAGCACAAGCACGTTGGCCTACGAAGTGCAGACCGATGCATCTGACTTTGCAATTGGCAGTGTTTTGATGAAAGATGGGCATCCCATTGCCTTCGAGAGTTGGAAGCTCAACGAGACGGAGAGGCGATACACGATCCAAGAGAAGGAGATGACGGTCGTGGCACATTGCTAGCTCACATGGAGGCACTACTTGTTGGGATCAAAGTTCGTAGTGAAGACAACGTTGCGACGAGCTACTTCCTTACACAGAAGAAGCTCACCCCCAAGCAAGCGAGGTGACAAGATTTTTTGGTCGAGTTCGACTTTGTGATGGAGTACAATTCAGGAAAGACGAACTCCATTGCAGATGCTCATAGCCGCAAGAGTGCAGCCACAAGCATCAGTCAGCCCGTGTTCCTTTGAATGAGCGCATTGTCGAACGCCTTGACCATGACCCCTTCGCCAAAATCGTGGTCGAGTACATCGAGCAAAGTAAGCCTCGACGGCTTTGGATGAATGATAGGCTCATCATAACCAAGGGAGAGTGTGTGTTCGTGCCAAGATGGGCCAACTTGAGGAAAGAGATCATTCCTAGCAACATTGTGAGCGACAGCGATGTGCGCTTCACGGGCCAATTTTGGCGAGAGTTGTTCAAGATCATGGGCTCTGACTAGAACTATTCGAAAGCATTTCATCTACAAAGCGACGGACAGACGGAGCGGGTACTTGAAGCACTATGTGAGTGCTAACCACTGAGATTGGGAAAAGTTTATTGATACGGCTCAATTTTCCTACAACTTGCACCACAGCGAGTCGACCAACACGAGTCCATTTGAGTTGGCGACGAGGCAACAACCGTTGACGGCTACGACGGCAGCAACGGACTATAGAGGCAACAATTCGGCAGCCTACAAGTTTGCGAAAGGTTGGTTCGAGAAGATGGAGATGGCCAAGTCTTACCTAGCCTACGCTAGTAATAAGATGAAGAAGTGTGCGGGCAAGAAGAGGCAGCATTTGGAGTTTGAAGAGGGAGACATGGTGATGGTGAAATTCTACCCTCACCGCTGGTTCTGGAGGATGCCACGTGGGAGGAGACTTCCACGCTGGTGCAACGCTACCCATGCTTTGATATTGAGGGCAATGTGAGATCTGAAGAGGGGAGGGATGATGGAAACACGGGCATAGGGGGCGGGTCGGGTTGAGTTGTGTGTGGCTGGGTGGTTCAGGTATTATTATTAGTTATTTTTTATTTCCGAGTGATATCAAGAGAAGAAAAGAGTTGACAAAACAATCCAGGAATCCCTTACAATCGAAATCCCAATGCAACCACCCAAGAAAATTGAAAGATTGTAACTCTAGGAGAGACAAAAGCTGTGCTTTACGCGCCACTCAATCCTGCCTTAGGAACCGCCCTAAACTCTATACAAACTGGAAAATGTAGGATCTTATGACGCTCCTGAAGACTGGACCTTCAACAGAATCTTCTAGTACACCATGTCGGATCTGGTTGACGACCACCTCGGAGTCACCTTCCACCATCACATGAGTCAAGGATCTCGAAGCGACTAAGGACTTAGCATCTCTCACTACTAGGAGCTCTGCCAGGTCAGGGTCGACTACTCCTTGGTGTCGCCAACCGGATGCCACCACCACATGCCCGTATGAACCACGTACGACAAGACCCGACGAGCACCCTAATTCGCGAATATATGCATCGAAACTGATCTTCAAAAAGCCGATTAGTGGAGACGTCCAAGCTGGTGGAGGAGGAAATGGGAGGATTGACCTGGGGTTGGATGAGGGGGGAGCAAACTGGAAACTTCTATGACCTGGTTGTAGGATTGTCTGGCTAGGGAACAGACATGATGTTTGTAGAAATAAAAAAAATCAATTTATTTATAGTCTTCCAGATTCTCGTAAGTAAACAAATGCATTGGAGAATGTGGAATAGGGAGATCTCAGAAATCATGACATGTCGCCACCATAGACTAAAGTTAACAGTCAGTGCGGATCAATTAAGTTGCTCAATCCCACTAAGGTCCACAACTTGGTGGCTAGGGGGCATCTGAAGAATAAGTGTTCAATGCTCTCTATGTCTCTAGCATACAGGACATCTACTGAGGCAATTAACTCCACGTGTTTGTAAGGCTACCACAGTGAGTAGAATGATCCTAAGATATTGCGATATGAAGAATTTAAACTTTGAAGTGACGTGGGTATTCCAGATCTTTTTCCAAATGGGTGGATCGATTATAAGCACCATTGGTTTCCTACTTACTGCAAGACTGATTTTGTCGCTAGTTGATATCTCGATTTGACTGTGTACTTTTCATCATTTCTGTAGTGCCATACTCTCGTATCTTGTTGTGATACCTAGAAATACAATGAGGTAAAATTTAGTGGAAAGAAGTTCATGATAGGTGAATAAATGCCTGGAATCTCTCCTACATTGATCCAAATTGGTGACCGTTTAGAAATGGTAAAATGAAGATGGGTATTAAAAGGTGGATTGAATTTCCTTTGATTTGTGCCTGCTCAATTCAAAATCGAAATTACAGGGGACTCTATTATTTTGAGCTAAAGAATGTTGTAACTTATCCTTAAAGTGGTCATTTAATTCGAGCAATTCATTGCTGGTCGTACTATTCTAGTATCGCATTTTTGGAAGATTGAATTAATTAGGGCCTTGGAAGCGTTTTGATTTGTGAAAGCCCTTTGATTACGCCCATTATACTGGCTAAAGCATCGGTTGTGGAAGGCTAGTTCGTCATTAAGGAGACGAATTGAAAGCAGTCAAAGCACAATTAAGACTTTTTTGGCGCTAGCCGTTAAGCCTTGTAACATACTTGAGTAAAAGTGGTATTAAACACAATAATTATTGTACTAAAATCCAGTGAGCCTCCAGCGACCGGTCGAGGACGTTTGATGATTGGTAATGAAGGGACTTACGAAAGGGACGAAGGACTGTGATTACAACCTTCACGCGCCTGTAAATTCCAACCATATGCTTGTTGATTCTTGGATATGTTTGGGTCAACTCCTTTTATATCTTCCCCGCAATTTCCTTTATCATGTCCGAGTCATTCCTGTAATGAGTAGAGTTCAGATAGGTTAGTGACTCCCGTCAGAATATTTCTCCAGTTCCACACCTTGTTCCTGGCAGAAACTCTGCCGTGTTTAGCAAACGCGGAACCCAAACTCTGAAGGCAAGAGCCTCCAATCAAAGGTATCAACGGCTTCTTCTTCCTTCTCCTCAGCGAAGGATGTATCTCCAATGTCTGGTGATGGTGATCTATCATTGGAGGAATCATGACCTGAGTCGCACCGCCGCCGCTTGATCGGGAAAACATCCGAAACCCACCCACCGCAAGGATGCTCCATCTTCCTCTTCCTCCAAGCAAGCTTGATCCCCTTCACATGCGGGAGGTTGATTTTCATACATGGACTATTTAAGGAGGAGAATCTCATTCGGATGATTATTTGGAATTGTTTGAGCCACTATACCCCCTTCACTATTCGGACGTCTCCCTCCGCCCGGCGTCGACCTACACACACAAAGAGGAGGGCGCTGCGGCCCGTTAATCCTCCGACGCCCAAGTTAGTTTCCTAGGGAGAGTAGAGTTCTCAAGTAGTATTTTAGTGTGAGAGAATCCAACCTGCATAAATGCTACCGACTACCCCTATTTATACTCACCGAACTCGAGGCTGATCTCCTCCACGTCACTATCCTCATTTAATGCTCTGTGTCCCCTCTGTGAGACACCCAACTGCCTTGTCAGGCTCCTGACACATGACAGGCATCCAACTGCTTTGCCAGGCTCCTGACACATGACAGGCGCCCGCAGGCAGTGGTCCACCGGACAGCTGGCCTCAACTTTGCTTTTGGCGTTTTATTCTTTGGGCCCTTTCCCTTGTCTGGGCCCAAGGGCCTCTAGTGGATCCCTTCTTTTTGGGCCTTGCCCCCCAACTCTCTTTCCTTGGGAGCCCAAACTCCTAGCTGCTAGGTAATACCCCCAACAGGAATATATCATAATATTGAACCCAATCCCTAATCTCTTCTCTCGATTCTCTTCCCCGGTTCTCTTCTCAATTCTCGCTCGAATCTCTAGTTCTCAAATTCTTCAATCCCTAGTTCTTCTTCTGTCTATCGGAAACAATGAGACAAGTGAAATAAATATCAAGTGCCACGAACATGAATCCCCGGAATTTACTCCCCCATTGCAGGTCAGTTACGAGATATCAGCATGACTTATGTCGCAAAACGCCACAAACCCAAAAGCAGGTAATCTCGTTGGCTAAGTTTGAGTTTAAGAAAAAGAGTTCAACTTCTTCTCATTGCAGCATATGCCATGCAGCGGGAAATCAAACATTCATATGCACCACACCACATTCAGCATCAGAAAAGTAAGTCAATATATAGCTGATTAATCATCGATTTACCCCATCGACAACCAAAACACAGAGCAGGGAAGGCTAAACTGAATTCTCCATTTAAAAATTAACTCTACCCATGGTGTTCTCGGAAAACAAAACAAACACAACATTGAAAGAAAAAACTTACGTGAAAAAAGCTGTAAAACTCTGTTGAAGTGTAGTAGGCCTGCCTTTTGGACTGGAGGAAGGAATTACACGTTTCACAAAAAAAGGCTTACATTTACCTACAAAAGTATGACACACATTGTAAGAAACTGATGTGCTTTCACCTCCCAAGTTAGCTCTTTGTTTCACTAGATCCGCTGCTCTCATCCCCGTGGACCGGACGACGAATATCAACTTGGTCCATATACTCCAATGGAGTTGCAGTTTCATTTGCGATCCTCTTGATCTTGGGGCTCAACAGCCCTCTATGTCCGAACCCATAAAACTTAAGCACCTGATTGTCGGCAAAATTGAAAGCCCTCTCCATGCTCTTCAGGCACTGCTCAACCGGGTAATCCCCATAGCTCCCACAAGGCTTGCATCCAACGAAATGAGTTACGAAAGGCCATCTCTCGTCTCCCAAACCGGGATGATACTTCTCAATCATTTCTTCATACCTCTCCACCAAACCTAACCAGTACCCGTGCAAGTAATATTGATTCTCCACATACACCTTGTCCATCCACTTCTCCTTCTGTGAGAGCAATAAATAGATCAATGCAGACTGATCATCAGCCTCGAATGCCGGCCTCCCTTTCAGGTTAGCAGTCAACACTTTCCCTGCTTCCTCACGGATCGGGCCCTTTGGACCCATTGGAGCCCATGTATCAAGCAAATCAAGACTCCATTGGCAATTCCTGAACAAGAAACTACCAGTGTTCAATGCAATCCACGATTTCTGCTCGAATAGCAAATCCGGGTAGCCATGGATCACCAGGTTATGGTTAGAGTACTTGGAGAGAGGGACCTCAAACACCATATCAGTAAACATAGCATCGCTATCCATCCACCAAATCCACTCCACTTCAGGATGAGATAACATGAGCCGCCTAATCATGGGCAGTTTTGCCCAGTACCCAGCGAGCTCCTTGTCCAAATGAGCCATGTTGTAAACAATCTCAATCCCATGAATCCTACAGTAATCAATCTTGTTCTTAACGGCCTTCAACAAGTAATGATCCCCAATGGGGTTGTCGCATGGGTTTGGAGGGGAGCCGGTGAGGAGGAGAATTCGAGGTTTGCCGTTGACGGAGCTGGGGAATTCAGGGTTTTGGGAGAGCCATACCTTACGCTGTTGATCCCAACCGACAATTTTGGGGCCGAGGGTGTAGGTGTCGTTGAGGGAGAGGAATTGGGGCTCGTCGGTGGAGTCGGCAGGATCGTCGGGGTCCTTGTCGGAGCGGATCTCGGCAAGTACGCGGTTGGTCTCTTCGATGAGGTTTTGGTTGACGGCGTCGGCTTCGGAGCTGGATAAGTTGCCGATTCCGATTGTGCCACGGAGGACGAGGATGGTAACGAAGCCGCACAGGATTGTGATCTTGATGTTGTTGAAGGTCTTGTGGATCTGCCTGCCGCGAGGGATCATTGTACGGGCGGCGGCGCCTGCTGCTCTTCCGTTGGTGGTGGGCAACGCTGAACCGCCGCCGCTGGATCGCTTCTGGGTTGTGAAGGTGGAGCCGTTGTCTTGCCCCATTCAAATTCAACAGCCCAAAGAGAATCCGCACCCACTTCACCTAGCTCCAATTATAGAGCTTTCGTGAAGTTGAAGCATCTATCTCTTTCTCTCCCTCACTGTGCTCTCTGGTTCTTTTATGGGTATTACGTAACAATAATGTGGATGACAGAGGAGAGACAGAGAGAAAAGGGATCTGAAATCTTGATTTGTCTTGGGTTGATTTTGGGTGTGGAATGAAAATCTATTATTTTAATTTGGACAGATGGATCTGGTCGAATTCTTACTCTGCTTCCACATTTGGTGTTATTCTGAACAGAAAAGCAGGACTGAGAGATGAGAAAGAGAGGTTGGATGGAAAAATGTACACCGCCGGAGAGAGGAGGTGTCGGTCTGCAGTTGAGAGGCGTCGGTGCACGGCGGCGGGGGAGATTGGAAAGTGGAAGAGGAGGAGAGTTGGGTTAGTTGTTGTGTTGGAGGGTTTCGTATTCTAAATAAACAGGGAGATGCGCTGTTCTGTGAGTGTGATGTGTTGTTGCATCCATTTGGAAGACAGACACGACAGGAGGCTATCTCCATCGATCTCCATAATCCGAGTACTACTTTGAGCCCGGTCACTTGCTAGTTGCTAGGGGATGGCACTTGAATCCTACAAATAAGTATCCAACTGGATTTAAGTTAGTTAAAGCGGGTAAAATTCAGTGCTGACGGGTTTGGGTTGGATGTTCATTTTATCTTTTTTTTAAATTAGCGCGTTAGATCAAGTCTGGGTTCTGTCAAAATGCAAAGTGATAACACCAAAAAATGTGTTATTTAGCCTTCATTTATTAGGTGTTTTATTGTCATTTTGAGCATGATTTGATTTATAAAACATCATTTGTAGTCTAGATGGCTTTGTTTTGTTATATCATGTTATTATAGGTTGCATTTGACGTTACAAGCAAAAAGAGGAAGAAAATGAGGCTATTGTGTAGTAAAAGGGGCCAAAATGGAGATAATTGCGAGCTCAGTAGCCATGGGCGCGACCTAGAGCACCAAGATCGCAACGCTCATGGCTAAGACCACGACCACGACTACGAACTCTGGAGCCAAGGGCGCAAACTTCAAGAGTAGCCAATAAGGAAGGAGTAGAAAGTCTTGATAGCCGACTCACGACCTCCTTCATCCAAGCCCGCGAGAATGACCGTGAGTTATGGATCGCGACCATGAACTCAGACCTCGAACTTCCCAACTTTCAAAGCACAAAATGGCAACCTCAAGATCGAAGCTTCTCGCGGCCACGATCTTATGCCCCTTGCCCGCGAAGTTGTCTGTGTCCTCAGAATTTCATAACCCTCATGGTCGCGATCTTCTACTCTGTGTCCGTGAACTTGCGCTTGTCTGCAGAATTCTATAAATAGGGTACTAATACCCTTGGAGGAGGATTTCTACCACTTGAAGACCTTTCTTCATGTTTTCTTCCCGTCTTTGTATGTCTTTTCTCCCCCTCTTCATGGGGTAATCCCTCAAGGTACTTTGGTGCTTTGTCCCCCAAACCCTAGATTTATGATTAGAATGTAGATGTAACCGTGTTAAGGTTTATGTATGAATATACTAGTTTTAGTCAATTTATGCTTAATTATGCTTGGGTAAGTCGCCCAACTCTTCCCTACTAGCCTACAACTGAGTTAACACTAAGTGGAAATTTTAGGATTAGACTATGTAGCGCCAACTAGAAGATTAAGGATAGATGAAAGATCTTAGGGTTCCTTAGTGGACGTGGAGACCGAACCCCTGCTATAGGTATGCAGTCGCAAAAAAACGTTAGAGAAGTACGCGTTCTGATCGAAGCACATCTCTAGTATGCATGATAGGTTGACTCGTCCCGAGTACCACAATTTAAATCCCGACCAAGACACAAGTATAAACCCTAGCCGGGTGCAGTATAGAGTAAGTATTTAAATGTCAAACCCGGGCCAGTCCATGTACCCCTACTTCGACTGTTTGTAACATCATCTAGTAATCATTTTTTTTTTATTAAAACTATGGACTACAGTTAAAAACAATTGGAAAGGTAATGGTTATGAATATTAATTGAGAAGACTTCACCCGGGTGTTGGTCCCCTTAACTAGTTATCACAATTTGTTGAACCAAATGCAAATGTGTGGTAAAAACGGTTGTAAATGGTAGTGAAGCGCAACAAGTGAAGAAGCTTCACTCTCTCGTCATTAGGCCAAGGGATGTGAAATCAAGCTACCAAAGTAGCTCTCTTGGCTAATCCACTAAGGATTGCCTAGGCTTCTCTCTCGAACCATAGTCTGGACGGCCAAAATACAACCTACCCAAGGTGCTAAAGCGTAGTATGAGGTTTGCCCTAATTCGTCCTAATTAGAACCGTGCAAAACTCACCTATATAGAATCTCAATAGAGCTCGAAAACGAGAGCTCTGGGACACAAGGATGACTCACAACGGTTTAGACACGAAGAAAGCAAAGGGTCTCTCTATCAATCTCAATTAACTCAAGTAGCAAAAGCTCATACAATGAGAACAACCCTAAGTCACACGACTCAAAAGGGTTGACTAGGGAATAAAATGTTTTGGGATAATCAACTTTTTGGGTGTGGACTAATCCCGTGCTTCCATCTTCCTCGCTAATGACAACGTGAATGTTACTCGTCATAGCAAGAGGGATCTAACACACATGAAAAATACGATCGACACAAATCTCACATGGCTACCTAGCCGCTCAATCATCCATTCCAATTTCAAAATTCTATGCATGGCAGTTGCAATCAATGAGTACTCAAGTCAAGGCATCCATCTATTTGCACACATATGAGAACTAAACACTTGCACCAACCTAATGCAATTCTCAATCATCATAATAGGATGCACTCGATCACAAGTAAACAATCCAAAGTCAATGCCAATAAACACAAGATTCTCCACAAACCGACCACTTTGATCAAGCATTCACACACATTCACATGCTAATTACAAATGATACACCCCTTACACTTAAGCACGACAGTGTCTTCAATGGAGAATAAGGGTAGGGTGAAGAAGTTACCGAATAAAAGCAAGTGAAAGTTGGACATAGACCAGGATAGGAGATTTGGAGCTTCAAAAAGAAAAAGTAAACACAAGCAAACACACACAGATTCTAGCTCAAGGTGAGGTTATTACACATAACAATATTCAACATCACGATTAAAAGAAGAAAGCTCACAATAGCGTTAGGTTGCCTCCCAACAAGCGCTAATTTAACGTCTTAAGCTAGACGGAGACATCATACTAGATGTCTTGCAGTAACGTCACCTCCTTTTGAATCATTACCTCACCTCGAGGTATGTTTGAGGTGGTGACCGTTCACTTTAAATGTCCCTTGCTCCGGGTGGGAAATTTCCACCATCCCATATGGAAACACTTGGTTTAGCACATACAGGCCCGTCGATTTCGATTTTAGCTTCCCAGGGAACAGGACGAGCCTGGAGTTGTATAGGAGTACCTACTCCCTCGGTCGAAATCCTTGTCCCCTTTCAGTCAAGCATCGTGCATGAACTTTGTCCTTTTCTTGTAAAGCTTGGTGTTATCCTAGGCGTGATAATGCCACTCCTCAAGTTCCAGCACCTGCAACTTCCTTTCATTCCCACACAAGGTTGGGTCCATATTTAACAATTTGATAGCTCAGAAAGCCTTACACTCTATCTCTACAAGCAAATGACACGCCTTGTCATACACCAAATGATAAGGTGGGACACCTATTGACGTCTTGTAGGCCGTGCGGTATTCCCATACAACATCATTGAGCTTAATGGACCAATCCATTCAGAATCAGTCCACTGTCTTTTCCAGTATCCTTTTCAGTTCTCTATTTGACAGCTCTACCTGATCACTCGTCTGGGGGTGGTAGGCCATGGAGACCCGGTGGGTAACACCATAGCGATCAAGGAGTTTGTCAAATTTCCCTTGATAGTGCGTCCCTCTATCATTAATGATGGTCCTTGGGGTTCCAAAACGTGAAGAAAGTTTCTTAAGGAATCCGTAGACTCGACTTGCATCATTGGTGGGTAGAGCTTGAGCCTTAACCTACCTTGAGACATAGTCCACGGACACTAAAATGTACTTGTTTCCAAAAGATGAGGAAAAAAGATCCATTATCGATACCCCAAATGTCAAAAATGTCGCAAGTAATGGAAATCGTTTGGGGCATCTCATTGCGGTTGGAGATGTTAATAGTCTTTTTGACAGTTGTCGCATTGCCGCACAAATGCATCGGCATCTCGGAACAATGAAGGCTAGTAGAATCCGGATTGGAGCACCTTTCTTGCCGTATGGTTGCCCCAATGATGCCCTCCTGTCGACCCCTCGTGGCATTGGCTAAGAATAGCCTTCATTTCTCTTTATGGGACACACCTCTGTATGATCCCATCGGCTTCAATTGGAAGAGGTGAGGATCATCACGAAAGTAATATCGGAGGTCGGAGAAGAACTTTCTTCTCTTGTGAGTACTCATCCCCTTTGGAAATTGCTTTCCGACCAAATAATTGGCGAAGTCGGCGAACCAAGGGATAGCACTCTCCACCATTGCAAGCAGCCAAGCACGAACAATCTCTCATGGGAGAAAGAGTCATTTATATTGCCTTGGGTGGTGCTTTGTCAATGGCCTTCAAGTTGGTAAAGGTGATCCGCTGCTATGTTCTCGGCTCCTTTCTTGTCTTTGATTTCCACATCAAACTCTTGGAGAAGCAGGATCCACCTGATTAGACGGGGTTTGGCGTCAGTCTTGCTCATCAGGAGAAGACGACCGCCAACAAATCCTTCTCCTTAGTTGTGTAGTTCTCTTGAGCATTGTTCAACGTCTTTGAGGTGTAGCATATGGGCTGAAACTGCATACCTGACACGCTAAAACACAACTCCAAACTACGACCAAGTATAATCGCAGTCCGGAAATGCAGAATAGTGGCAAGTTCAATTTATCAACCCGGGGTCTAGATCTACTGCCTATTCCGTGATTATCTATTATCTAGCGGGAATAAG